GGGGGGGTGGGGGCAACGTCTCCTTATCTTTCTCGGGTTTTTCTCTGTGTTTTCTCGTTTTCCTCGATTCTCCTAAAAACCTAATATTTCAATTTGCTGAGTTAGCGCTCTGCCCTAATTTGAAGTTTGAGCTAGTTTTGTCAGTCAAAGGGGGATGGTCTTTATTAACTATGTTTAGTATTTTTATTCAAGTGAATGTCATAAATCCCGCCGGAGCGCTCATTGGTTACAATTTACGTCTTATGCTGCTATATTGCTAACCTATAAGTGAATATAGCGCACACGCGCACGCTCGTTTGTCGATTGGTGCCGCTTGCAGAGATAATCACAAGGGCGGATCCAGCCAAAATTTTAGGGGGGGGGGGCTAATTTAGTTTCTTCCGTCAACACAACGGAAAACAATACAAAAAGCATCTAATTCTTCAGCTTTGTTTGCTTTTCCCCCCCTGCTGAAGGGGAATTTAGCCCCCCTTTGCCCCCCCCTCCCCCTGGATCCGCCCTTTAACAAAAAAACTTAATAAAACTCTCTCCCTGAAGACTCGCGTCTCGGTAAATATTTCCCGATATTCACTTCAATTTTTTATTTTATGCCATTTCTACTATATTCTACATTGTGAGCTCAAACGTCTTCGTAAAAATATCGATTGGTTCATTTTGACCCTATAGGACCACGTGATCTAGTAGTCCAAGTTGTGGGCTAACTGTGGTAATATCCAGTGCTAAGGGGCTGAGTACTTGTACTCATTCTCCAGACGGTAGTCAATGGTTCCACACAAACCATGTTTTTGTTGAAAATTTCCAAAAAAGTCCAAACATTCCCCAACTTTATCGACAAAAAATGAATAAAATTGATGCCTCCACGAGGAAAAACAGTGGCTAGGATGTCTAACGATAACGAAGAGTCCGATGTAAAGTCGCCAGAATTGAATTCCGTATACATTTCGGAGTCGAAAGAAGAAGAAACGAGTTCGTCGAGCAGTGCAGAAGAAACACAAACCAACTCTGCTGTTCTTGTCAGCTCTTTGATTATAAACCAAGCCCTGGAAAATTTTTCAAAGGTAAAGGGATAGTATGTTGTGTAGTTTTGCGTTTGAGGTCGTTGAGATATTTCTTGTAGTTTGAATACGTATGGTTTGATTTGCACGTGGATCCAAATAAGCTTATTACGTTAATACGCAAAAGTTCCCATCGTCAGATTTTTAGAAACTTTTGCATGATGAAACTACATCATACTAAAAGTAAAGTAAACAATGCTGTTGTTGTTTATATGTTGTAATATAAAATGATGATATCATGGGTGGAGGGGGGGG